CCCATGCCTGTGCTATGAGACTTGCAAACAAAGTGGATCACCAGTTTACTTATGTGTTAATGTATGCAGTTTACTTACAAATAAGGAGCCAGCCGCAGAGTACAACAGCAGCAAGGCAAGCTCACAGCAGCAGCTTTGGCATGATGGGAAAAAGTTGAGGAGGGGAAACAGAAGGCAAGTAACCCTTCCTTAGTTTTCCTGCCTGTCTCCTTTGCTGGGGCTGAGGTGCCTTGTGGAGGGGCAGAGCCCATTGAATCAACATCGCTCTCTTCCCTGCCTTTTCTCACAGTCATCATTCAGTGAGCTGTGGAGACTTTCTTTTTCTTTTCTTTTTCATTTTTTTGCTGAATAAAGTAAGTGGCATATTAAAATAGCTATGCATCACCTTAGCATAGCATATGTACCTCACAGAATGGTGAATTAGAATTATGCTGCATCAGTTAGGGAATTTATTTTTTAAAGATGAAAAATTTTGTTTAGTCATTGTGCCCGACTCTTTGTGACCCCATGGACCAGAGCACGCCAGGCCCTCCTGTCTTCCACTGCCTCCCAGAGTTTGGTCAAATTCATATTGGTAGCTTCAATGACACTGTCCCACCATCTCATCCTCTGTCATCCCCTTCTCCTCTTGCCTTCACACTTTCCTAACATCAGGGTCTTTTCCAGGGAGTCTTCTCTTCTCATGAGATGGCCAAAGTACTGGAGCCTCAGCTTCAGGATCTGTCCTTCCAGTGAGCACTCAGGGTTGATTTTCTTCAGAATGGATAGGTTTGTTCTCTTTGCAGTCCAGGGGACTCTCAAGAGTCTCCTCCAGCACCACAGTGCAAAAGCATCAATTCTTCAGTGGTCCAGCTCTCACTTCCATACATCACTACTGGAAAAACCATAGCTTTGACTATGACTTTGTTGACAAGGTGATGTCTCTGCTTTTTGGGCTGCTGTCTAGGTTTGTCATCACTTTCCTCCCAAGAAGCAGGCATCTTTTAATTTTGTGGCGCTGTCACCAACTGCAGTGATCACGGAGCCCAAGAAAGTAAAATCTGTCACTGACTCCATGTCCTCCCCTTCTGTTTGCCAGGAGGTGATGGGACCACTGGCCATGATCTTAGTTTTTTTGATGTTGAGCTTCAGACAATTTTTTACACTCTCTTCTTTCACCCTCATTACAAGCTTCTTTAATTCCTCCTCACTTTCTGCTATCAGAGTAGTATCATCTGCATATCTGAGGTTGTTGATATTTCTTGTGGGAATCTTAATTCTTGGGATTCATCCCAAAATGAAAATTAAGGAGTGGATTTCTCATCCTTTCTTCTCATGTCAAAACATGTGTGGATGCTGTAATTTGATTTGAACTAAACCATACTCAGAGTGATCCAAATAATGATCTTCATACCCAATGTATTGGGTATGAAGATCACCAGGCCAATGTATTAATTCCAGCCCTTAATCCATCTAGACCACTATAGTTGACGGCACATGTCCAGATCTCTGGAGTTTCAAACAGGTGTTTCTTTCAGCCCTCTCTGGTGATACCAGAGATTGAATCATGAGTCCTCTGCATGTAGAGCATGTGATCTACAGACTCACTTTACAAGAGCCAAAGATGGTCACCTGCTATGTGTATCACTCTGACAGCAAGGGTCCAGTCAGATGCTAGAGACAGCACATTGTTAGAAGAAGAAAGCACATTAATGTTTCAGTCAGGCAATCCCCAAAGTACCATGTCTGAACAATCAGAATGCATATTAAACCAGCAAGCTTATTTTCAAGCTACTGGAGAGCAGCAGATCTCCTGAGATTACAATTACATTACAACCATATTGCCTTTAATGCTTAAGGAACTGCTACTTCCAATATAGAACAAGAATCTAATTTGGCCTTAAAAGAGAAGGCAGGGAAGCTCTGGGGAGGACAGTGCCAGCTGCAGAAAGTGACTAGTACTGTTCTCTATAGGCTCAAATGTCTGGCTTTGAGGGATCTTCCTGAGAAGGCAATGGATCAGGTGCTCTGGAAGACTGGCTGTGCCACTAAGGAACACGAGATCTCCCGGGACACCCTGCCCATAATGTTTTGTTCAAAGGGCTCCTCAATGCAAGGCATTCGGGAAGTGGTTGGCTCTAAAAAGCCATGAGATAGCTGTTTCCCTCCCGTGGCACTGCTGTGAGAGGAAAGTGAATAGGGCAGCCATCCAGAGCCTACTAATGCCTTGCCTTATAGAATCAGGCCAGCTGCTTCCCAGCTGTGAAATTTGCTACAACTGGGGGATGGCCAGTGAGTGGAGGGGTGGGAATGGGCAAAGGTCATCTCTGTTCATCTTCTGCATGCCTAGGACGGTGCTTCAAACTTCTTATAGGATGGCTTGCCACATTATCAGGGCTGTTTCCAGTATTTATTGCTGTCCTGTCCTCAGCTCAGTAGCCTATATTAAGATGACCCCTGTAGCCCCACAGAATGGTGTAAAATGGGATTTCTAATGGGAAGTGAGGCGTTTTCATTTCTTCTGCATGCAGCTGTCCGTAATCTGCGCATGGCTAGTTCAGGCTGATCAACACAGAGACAGAGGTGGATTCAAGGCAGGATGAGACCCATTTACAAAAGATTTACAAGAGCTAGATTTTCAGCTTATTAATGGGTGCTATATCTCATTCTTTAGTGCCTGGCAATGCACATCTCTTTCAAAATCCATGTCCCATCAAAACTTTTAATCATAACTGTATCAAGAGAGTTTATCCTTACAAAGAAAAATAATCCCCTCAGAGGCTGAGAGAAGGACTTCTAGCCCCGGGGACTAATCTGAGTCATGGAAACACCACATGCCCCCAAGCCCCTTCCCTGCCTTTATCAGCTGGAAGTCAGGAATCTCTACTGTTAGCTCCTAATATCTGAATTAATTGAGTTATACTAAAGATACAATTGATCCATTTATTTTCTCTCATCATAATCATGCATCCAAATTGAGTTTTAGGGAAATCTCTGAGAGCCGACATAAATAGGAAAAACTAAGTGTATATGCCGTTCTCCTTCTCCTCTCTCAAATGCCCCAAGATCCCTGCCCCAAGAAGCTTAGGACTGAATATGGGAGGACAGCAGAGGAAAGGGACAGAAGTAGAGATAGAGCTGAACAATTTTTTTATCTATATGAGCTAGGCTTAGTTACAAGCTTAGTTGCAGCAATGGCAGCTCTGGGCCAAGCTATTCATGATGCAGTTCCATATTTTATCTTCACAAGATGTCCTTCTCACTGCAAGATCAGCCGTAAGAAGTCAATGTCAAGTTCATGTGGCAAGGGAGGAGGAAAGGTTTGTGCCTCTTCCCTTCCCTGTTCTCTGCTCAAACATGCCAGCCTCTCAGAAGAGCCTAAGAAGAATCCTCCTGGATCACACCAAAGGCCCACTTGATCCAGCATTCAGTTCATATCATGGTCACCAAGCTGCCTACGGAAAGCCTACAAAGAAGGAAAAGATGTAGGGAAAGTCAAGGTTGAGATCTTCACTTGCTCATCCTCCATTCCTTATTTTAGTCTCTCGTGGCTAAAATTAAAAAACAAAATATGATGAGGAGGGGTAGCCCTGTCAGTATGAAAAGAATCACGGGACTACCTCTCATTTAAGCTTTCCGTGTTTTCTCCTGGAGAAGAAATCTGCCTCTTTCAGCTTTAGATATGGCAGACCTCTGTTCATTATATTCAGCCTGTGGGGCATGAATTTTACATTTAAGTACATCTGTGGGATTCATATGCCCTTCCAGGCATGTGGAGTGTTATAAACTGAGAAGGGGATTTGAATTTAAAGCAAATCTAAATTCAGTGATAAGATAGGAACCACTTCTGCTGAAATTGGAAAAATTGGATTCACACTGGTGCAATAAAAGCAACTCTTAAGCCACCTCCATTCGTGGTCCTTAATATTCAAGAAAAACTATGCCATATTTGCTTCTCTTTTGATGCACTGTCTTCTGATCTGGGAATGCTTCCCCTAATCCTTGACACAGATCCCTCCTTCCCAAGTTATGGAAATGCATGCTGGAGCACTTCTCTTTATTTGCTCAAGGATCAGCCTTGCCTTCAAAGAGAGAGTCTGAGACTTCACTCTTACACAGACAAAACCCTTCTCTCTTTTACTGCTTTCAAAGGATGACCAAGACTGGGCCTTTCATGAGTCAGAGTGAAACACCCGACTCGAGTGGCATGTGCTGAAAGTTTGCACAGAACAGTGTAAAGGTGCTGTAGGACAATGCTGGTTGTACCACACAGCCAGTCCCACACTCTGTAAGCTAGCTTGCTAACAGATACAGTGCAGGATCCTGTCCCATTACCACTACTGAAGTTAAGAGCCACCTGCATGTCCAGTCTTCCGCTGTATGGGTTGAGAGCATCTTATCCTAGGGCAACTCTTCAGAGCAGTACACAACTACTACACACAATAAGATGCTTTCCAAAAATAAATGGCCCATAGTATGGATTATTTTAAACTCTGTCTGTTGTTCATTAGCAACACTAAGATGTACAGAAGATTAAAAAGCATGCAGTGGGGTGTTTTGTCTGAGAGCAAAGGAGTATTTTCATCACAATGACAGTTGTTGGCATTCTTGGGAATAGGTTCCATGTGTGCCTGTTTGTTTTTGCAGTGACACAACCCTGTGTCATGAAAGCTGGGGCCACACACAAGCCAACTGAAGGGTTTTGTGTTTTGTTTTGTTTTCTTACAATGATACTTTGGATGGCATCATTTGCCAAGGGAGAAGAGCAGCTTTCTCCTCCTGCTGTCCCTGGACAGAAGCTGGAGCCCCCACTCCCAAAGGAAATTTCACACAAGTGGAGGGATCTAGTTGAAAGATGACCGTTCTCTCCCCTCAACACATGCACACTCCACTGCACGCCCACGCACCCACCCACCAGCATAATGCCATACTATTTTTGGAACCAAGAGAAGGGGCCTCCCCTATGAAAAGTGAAAGCCGTGTGTTTTCTCTGTTGCGTCACTTTGCAACCTAAGGCTGTGTTGGGCTCAAGTGTTCTTTTTGTGGTGATGCAAGTCCTTTTCTGCTTCTACAGCTGGTTGGATTCCCCCCTCCTCCACCTCTCTCCCTCTCCCTCTCTCCCTCTCTCAGCACCTCGCAGGTCTCCCTCTCTTTTGAGCACTACATTGCCTGAGTGAATTGAAAGGAAAATACAGATCAGCTGCAGGTTTCTAGCTACCAAAACACATTCAGAAGGAAAGAAGGCAGAGGGGGAAAAACACCAGGCTGGAAACCAGAGAAATACTGCTTGGTCTCTTAGCAAAACATTCAGCGGCTGAATAAAAGAGGGGGGAAAAACCTGTTCATGTTTTGGGATATTATTCTCTCAACTAGCTGGAACCAGAGTGGATCAAAAGAATGGGAAATGCCAGCAAAGCCGCTAGAAGAATTACTTCTTCCCTGTGCCTTTTATCTGTACTGTTGCTGCTGACAGAAGAGAGCAGATCTGCAAAGACAACATGTCCTGCTTGGTGTACTTGTACCAAAGATAATGCTCTGTGTGAAAATGCCAAATCTATTCCGCGCAGCGTTCCGCCTGATGTTACCTCCCTGTAAGGGCTGTAAGCATTTGGTTCTTTTAATTTATGTCTGAAATCAAATGAGCATGTGTGGGGTTTTCAGTGAAAGCTGAACGATGCCTGCAGTCATGAAAATCTCCTAACTGGGGAGGGAGGGTGGAGAGATGTTAAATGTTGTTTTTCTGAATGCACCGTTGACATCTCGTTTATCTCTCTACTGTATTTTTTTCGTGAGTGATGGGGAACTTGTCACAGCAATGTTTGTTTTTATCCTTCTACTTTAAAAAGAAATGGAATTCATGGTGACTATGACAAGGAATGATCTTGTAAGGCATAGACCAGGTTGATAAATGTCTATTCTATGAGCTCATATTCACGTAAGGTCTATTTTCTTTTTCCTTCCAGATCCTTTGTGAGATCAGCTTTTACAAAAATCCCAGAACGGAGTTTTATTTTCTCACCATCTCTGCAACTTCTGTGAGAAAGATTTATATTACGATAACTTGTTATGAAACATGTGTTTTCTAAAAGTGCTAAAATAATGGGCTTTGATGCTTGTTTTATAAAGAATAGCTAGTGCAGACCTATTATGTAACAAAATAATGTTTGCAGTAAGGGTAATTAAAGGTGTGCCATACCTAGTTGATTATTTTTAAGCATCTTGGTGTACCTCTTTAGGGTGATTAAATATCATGGTTTTTAATCAAGATTATTAGTACTAACATATTTATTTGGCATTAATTGGCTGTGTTAAATCTTGATGCCTGATTCTTGCTGTGGGAGGTATGGTACCCTTACATTGTTTCTTAGTCGCATCAAGTATGTTTCAGAAGCCTGGAAATCATAATGGGTCATCACCATTGAATTTTCCACACTTTCAGAATTTGCTACTAGTGGCTATTAGAGTTCTTATTGACTAAACAGATTGGCCAATTTTTTCAGAATTAAGACATAAATTTTAATAAGGTAATTGTTCAAACAAAACTCATATCACACACTCAGGTAGATGTTTCATATTTCTTTGGGGAGAGGTTAGATCGATCTATTCTTCCCCGGCAAAGTAGTGCATGTATAAAAATAGAATATGATGGATATTTCATGTAGTAAGTATACCTTGATATATTTCCTTAAGAAGTGAATTCTGAATCAGAAGAGAAAAATCTATACGCTATGAAAAGAACACATAGAACGGTATGGCCCACAAACACAACAGAAACCTAGTTCAGAAACCTGTCACAAAGCATTTCAAGTCAATTTTTTGGATAGAAAATTAGATATGTGTACATCCTCATGGCATATACAGTATGAACTGGTCCAGTGCACAAATGTGTTTGAATGTAAAACACTGGATTCAGTCTGAACATTAGGTCTGTTTAGGTCAGAGATCCTGATCCCCTGAGAGTTGATGCTATGACCCTTTCTCCTTTTTTTTTTTTTTGGTTGACTGTCAGGGGAGCTGATAAGAAGGCATGCACAGCCAAGTAAGGTTTTGAATCCAGGACAAATGAGTAAATATAGTTACCATGGAAACCTTTATGTTGTCCCTGTACACATTATCCCACACAAGCTTTCTTAGAATAAGAGCCTTTTTACAAAAAGGGCTAAAATCCACACAGCATCTGTGCCTGGAGAAAAAGAGAAGGTTGCCATTTGTTGCACTCAGTTGTTGTCTGTGTGCCTGCAGAAGGAAAAGCACATCAGGAGTCGCCATTTAGGTCTGTGACACCACCTGCACTGCGATCTGGCTAATATGGCACATACAGCATGTGAGGTGGCTCATTTCAGGCAGGCTTTTCAGCGACATGGCACCTTTTCTTGACAGGCAACATACTGCTTCAGGATCCTTTTGTAGGTGGAAGAGGAGCCTCTTCATTTTAACATACATGGATGCTTTGCATCCAGCTGTGATACTGACATACTGTATCAGAACCTCATTTGCAACCTTAGAAGCAGACATTTTTGTTCCATGTATCTGTATAATTCATAAGGGACGTGGTGGCGCTGTGGGCTAAACCGCAGAAGCCTGTGCTGCAGCGTCAGAAGACCAAGCAGTCATAAGATCGAATCCACGTAACGGAGTGAGCGCCCGTCACTTGTCCCAGCTCCCACCAACCTAGCGGTTCGAAAGCATGCAAATGCGAGTAGATTAATAGGGACCACCTTGGTGGGAAGGTAACAGTGTTCCGTGTCTAAGTTGCACTGGCCATGTGACCACGGAAGATTGTCTCCGGACAAACGCTGGCTCTATGGCTTGGAAACGGGGATGAGCACCGCCCCCTAGAGTCGAACACGACTGGACAAAAATTGTCAAGGGGAACCTTTACCTTTACCTTTATCTGTATAATTCGACAACAGAAGCACTACAACAATATGGAAAGATAAATATGTCCAGTTTCTCCAGTCACAGTTTTTTTTAATACTCTGGAGTAAAGAAGGGGTGGGAAACATGTGGCCTTCCAAATGTCGTTGCAATTCCCGTCAGGCGACACAACCAGTGGTGACAGATGGTGCCTATAGCCATCCAGTTAACACCTATAGGCTCTCCCCCACTGTTATAGTTGCTGTCATTAGAATCTTCAGTGGTGCGTCTGTCCAGAGAAGACTCTTAATTGCTTGTGACCTATTGAGAAAACATCCTGAAGTCTGAGGACCTCCTATTAGAACGTTACCCCTCCAGACATGAAAATCTCCCCATGCTGCATGCTGCAAACATACAAAGAAAGCTGCAGTATACTTAAATGACCACGTAGAAAACAAAAGCATGCTAATTTGCCAAACGGAGATGGAAGGGTATGAAGAAACCGTTTCTTAAGGAAATGTATCTGCTTCTTGAATCAGCTGGCAGAGTCCTAGGAAGTGGAGTGTGTTTCCAAAGTAACATGTAAAACTGCCATCCCAATTTGGTTCCCATCTTCAAGTACAGCATAAGGACGTCAATCTCTACCATCCTCACACAATGTGTCCAACAGCTGCCCTTACTGGGCATGAGGGAATTGTAATCTAATGCATATGGAAGAGGCTAAGATGAAAATTAAAAGGCAGAGGATATTGTAAGAAGAACAGAGTGCAATACCAAATGTGGTAAAGAACAGCTATTTACCCACATCTTTAGTTGTATTTGATCTGCAACTCCTGACAGAATCTAGAGAACAGCTCTAGACATCTGGCTCTGGAGTCGGAGGCTACGAATTCAATTCCTCACTGTGCCTCCGTGACAGGAACTGGACTTGATGATCCATTGGGATCCCTTCCATCTCTAAGGTTACATTTACACTTTCATAATGACACTTCAACTGTATGCTTAAGGTGGTGCCAGTGGCTGGGAAGCAAAATACTACACACGTTTTCTTGTGTGCAGTATAGCTCCACGTTAACCTCCTCTCAACTCCAGTCACACCAATTTTCAGTCCCCCATAAGCTGTTGTGAAATGCAGTAGACAACAAGGATCTGGTTCAGAAGGTCCAACTCCATATTGAGAGATCTCAGTATAAATGGGATGCTCTTTCCACTAGCTTTCTACATACACAAAAATGTATGTACAGTATGTTAGTGGGTTACATACATAAGATTTTTAATGGATAAATGAACAAACATTGAGAACTTGGCCCCTAGTTTTCCGTGAGTGTCTCCAGAACTGGTAGACCTGCTTGATAACAACTCACAAACAGAATTGCATCACAGCTGCAAAGCCAGTGAGTGAGAACAATTTCTTTCCTGCCACCCCATCCAACTGCAATGAAAGCAAAGTTCTGCTAAGAAAATGACTGAAATCATACTTGGCAGTGGACTTCAGGGGTAATGGCTGGGACTGGTATCCTCCACTCTTCTTCTTGCATTTAATGGCAAATCAGGGCTGAATGCCATGTTCTATAGACTTCATGCTTAGAAAGGTGAGGGTGTTGCTCCTCCTCCATTATTAATTAACCTCGTGGTTAGGCCAGGCATCCCTTCACTTCTCTCCTGTACTAAAAAACGCAAGACAGAAATGTTTTTTGTTTATTTATTTCATAGGCTTGTATAAGGGTATACGCATTGGGTACACAGTGTGGGGATGGTGAGAATAGTAGTTGTTATACCTGAAGGCTTTTAACAATCTTGTTTGGAACCCTGAATGCCTTCTTAGAGTTAAGATAGTTTTTAATGTTGACTTGTTGGCACTACTCTGGCTAGATTATATCAAAGGAATACAAACAAAGTAATGTAATCACAAAACAAATAATTGAGATTAAAAAATAGTCAAATTAATCAGAAAAGAATCAATACATCTAAGTATAAAACTAAACAAACCCAGATGATGGCAAGACAGCAGCATAAATATAACAAAACATTAAAAGAGGAAGCCTTTAAAGGCTTCTTCAAACAACCTAGTGTTAAGCATCTTCTTAAAGGCTGGGAGAAAGAGGGCCTAGTTGCAGCTCAACCAGAAACCCATTCATTCCATAGGGAGGGTCCCACAACAAAAAAGGCCCTGTTTCTTATAGATGTCTTCATGGCTTCTCTTGGGGTGGCAACCCATAAGAGCATTGCCAATGAGGATTGAGTGGCGCAGGCTGATGTTCTTAGGGAAAGGTGCTCCAATAAACAAGACTTTATTAAACTAGCAGTCCATAATCCTTATGGTACAAGAAACTGAAAAGGAAACACTCCCCTGCTTCATTTCTAAACTTCTGCCATTCCTTTCTATTTCTAAAAAATCCAGAAATATTTTTATACAAATTGAACCCTAGAATTAAAACAAATATATAACATTCAGCATTCAAACCACAATCCTCAATGTCTGCCATGATAAAAACATTTAAAAGAAAAATAACTTTTCAACTATGCTTAAAGGCTAAAATGTTTAAGGTTTGAAAATAAAGTCTTGATTTTGAGGCCTACTTTTAATTAAGTTGCATCTAAGCACTTGTCAGATTTATATTGCTTACTTACATTTGTCTAGAAGCTAATTTCAGGAATCATAGTTTAGTTAAAGTTGTCCCATCACTGTACTAGAGGTTAAGGTGGTTGTATCTGACTGCACATGAAGCAACCATGTCCCCAACCTAGTAAAAAGTTAATTCCCTAAAACTTTGTACAGCATATTGGCTGTTACTAGAAAGCACAGCAAAACTGCTTTGCTTTAAATAAACATCTGTTTAGATATTACTGCTAATGTATATCCTAAGACTTGAACCCATGTCCATTTACATGCTCAGGAGTAGAGACCCGGTTCAGAGGTTTGTGCCAATTTGTATGTGTGGTACCACAGGTGCCATGCGTTCCCTTCCTCCGCCTCACCAGCCAATGACCCTCTCCTCCATTGAAGCAAGCTCCCCTCCTCCTCCTTGTGGGCTGTTCAACCCGTCTCTGGCAGGAGCATGAGGTTGCCTGTCCTGCCTTCTTGTCTGAGTTGGCGATCAGCCAAGGAGGTGGGGCAGGGAAGCCCATGCTCCTGCCAGAGACTGGCTGAACAGCCGAAGAGGAGGAGGAGAGTGTGTGGGTGCTGGTGAGTGGGGGATACACCTGGGGAGAAGGGGAAAGGGAACATGCACCACCTGTGGTGCCATGCATACAAACTGGCACGAGCCTCCAAACCAAGGTTCATGGCCATCTCTACTCAGGATCTAGAATATTGTCTGCTTTTCCCATTCACTTATATGACCTTTATGCAGGGCATGGAATAAAACCTTTGGCATCTATAATTCTTCATTTTTAAGTGTATCTGAGCTATCAGGGAAGATTTCACATTTGTTCTAAGACCAAGTTACATTTTTCTTCTCTCCTGTGTTTCTTTGTATAGATTATTTACAGCCAATACATTTGATGTCATTAGTGGTGATGCTTTCATGGGCCTTCCTCATCTAGAATATTTGTGAGTTCAACATTTTACAGTACAAGATTCCTTAAGGATGTTGAATATTTGACATATACGCATTAATTTGACTGTACTGCCTTTATGACTATTACAGGTTTATAGAGAACAATAACATCAAGTCTCTTTCAAACACCTCTTTCCGGGGACTGAAATCTTTAATTCATCTGTAAGTAAAAGTGCTAATGGTCTTCTTTATTGCCTGCCTTATTTAAAGAAATAAAATACTGTGCGATCTTATACATTGCCTACTAAAATCAAGCCGCATTATGTTCTATGGTATTTGCTCTTGACAAGTGTGTATAGGACTACAACCTCAATTATATCGAATGTTTGAATGTGAACAAATCTCATTTTTAAAGCTGTCTTGCCATTAAAAACTTGATTACGTAATTAAACAAGCACTTGTTTAATGTATTGTGAATAATCCAAATATGTTTTGTAAATAACCTTAGTACTAAAAGCTAGGATCCAAAGAACCACGAAACAATTTTCACATAAAGAAATGGTGAACTAATACTGTCTAAATAATGACTTTGTGGCAAATTTCTTACAAGGATAGAGAACTTTCAAAAATAATTTGTGATATGCTGAGGCTTTGCTATCAAAGGAAAAACATTAAATATTCCACTAGGAATGGCCAAGCTTTGACCATCCTTGAAAGAATCCTCTTGTCCTTAGCCAGAGTGAGATAAATGTGAATTATTGTGTCTAATGTATTTTGCAAGGGTGCGTGTATTTTGCAAGTGTCTAAGGGATTATTATTCCATAATCTCTTAATGTTGTATTTCAGAAAAGTGAATAATGGACAATAAAATCCATTATCCATTATAAGAGGTTCTTTAATTCCTCCTCCTCCTCACTTTCTGCCATCAGCACGGTATCATCTGCATATCAGAGGTTGTTGATATTTCTCCCAGCAATCTTAATTCCAGTTTGGAATTCATCCAGTCCAGCCTTTCGCATGATGTACTCTGCATATACGTTAAATAAGCCAGGGGACAATATATAGCCTTGTCGTACTCCTTTCCCAATTTTGAACCAATCAGTTGCTCCATATCCAGTTCTAACTGTTGCTTCCTGTCCCACATATAGGTTTCTCAGGAGATAGATAAGGTGGTAAGGCACTCCCATTTCTTTAAGGACTTGCCATAGTTTGCTGTGGTTGACACTGTCAAAGGCTTTTGCATAGTCAATGAAGCAGAAGTAGATGTTTTTCTGGAACTCTCTGGGTTTCTCCATAATCCAGCACATGTTAGCAATTTGGTCTCTAGTACTTCTGCCCCTTCAAAATCCAGCTTGTACTTCTGGGAGTTGTCAGTCCACATACTACTGAAGCCTGTCTTGGAGGATTTTGAGCATAACCTTGCTAGCATGTCAAATGAGTGCAGTTGTATGGTAGTTGGTGCATTCTTTGGCACTGCCCTTCTTTGGTATTGGGATGTAGACTGATCTTTTCCAATCTTCTGCCCACTGTTTGAGTGGCCAGAGGATTAGATAAATCTAATGGAATCCTTATGGAGCAGAACCTATAGTCAGTTAAAATTATGTCTTACACCTGAATCTATAGCCACACATTTCTACAAAATATACTTACTAAAATGATAGAATGTATTTATTAAATGGCAGGAAAGCAGATACTATCACCTTTTGGATTTCACATTAAACTGTGGTTTTGTATTGTATGAATTATAGTCCGTAATCCTCAGGCACACACAACACTTTGCCTCATTCTAGTAGGGTATCAGAACAGATTAGTGTTGTTTACTTCTACTTTTAAACTAAACAGAGTTACTTCTGATAGTTTTTTAAACTAAAAATTATTAAAAAAAAAAAAAAACCCAGAGTTACGTGTTTTGTGAGCTGCCCTGAGTAGACCATGTCTAAATGGGCGGCATATAAGCTCAATAAATAAATAAATAAACTGCAGTTTGTTTGTGATCCTGACTCATTAACAAACTGTAGTTTAAAGTGACCAGCATTCCCTTAATCTAGACTATATAGCAAGAAGCTGTGGCTAGTTCAGAACACAGAGATCTCCAAGGGTCATTGGGCAAATTTTGGTTGATGCTAGTTTTCAACACAAATTTTTTGGTCACTAGAACCAACCCCTTGACAAAGTAAGAAATCAACAGCTGAAGTACCCTGACAAGCAGCTACCTCTGATTAACAACTTTCATTGAGAGAGAGTCTATCACCCTTTGAGGCAATCCATTCCATTGTCAAACAGCTCTTACTGTTGAAAATGTTTTTGTAATGCTTAGTAAAATCTTCTTTCTTGTATTTTAAATCCATTAGTGCAGATCCTACCTTCTGGACCTACAGAAAACAAACATGTTGCATCTTCCATATAACAGCCCTACAAATATTTGAAAGTGCTTACCATCCACCTTTCGGTCTTCTCTTCTTCTGGCTAAACATACCCAGTTCTCACAAGTGTTTGTCATACAACGTGGTTTCTAGACCTCTTACTATCCTGGTTGTTGTTCTCTGGACTGTATCAGTTTGTCAATATCCTTCTTAAATTGTGGTGCCCAGAATTTGACACAGCATTCTAGGTGAGGTCTGACCAAAGCAGAATCATTATTTCCCTTGATCTGAACTATCAAAGTCTATATTTTTGTTGACGCAGCCCAGTATACATCCTCTCTTTTTTTGCTACTATGTCATACTATTATTTCATTATTAGCTTGTGGTCAACTAAAACATCTAGACCCTCTCCACATATATTACTGACAAGCAAGCTGTCACCTATCTTATATTTAGGCATCTGTTTTCTCTAGCTCAGATGCAGAACTTTACATTTTTCCTTGTTGAAACTTGTTTTGTTCATTTTGATCCAGTTCTGCAATCTGTTTAGGTTGTTTTGAATCCTGATTACCTCTTACAAAGTGTTAGCTACCACTCCCAGCTTGGTGTTATCTGAAAATTTTATAAACATCCTCTTCCCTCCCTGATTTCAGTCATTTATAAAGATATTGAACAACACGGGGCCAAGGGCAGAATCTTGTGGCATCCTATTTGTCATTTTTCTCCAGGATGATGAGGAAACACTGGTGAGCACTCTGCATATGGCTACAAATTATTGTGACAATAGTATTATCTAGCCCACATTTTATCAGCTTGGCCACAAAAATATAAAGGACATTGTCAGAAGCCTTGCTGAAACTGAGATATACTTTTTTCACAGCATTCCATTTACCAAGCTGGTGATGCTACAGTTTGGCATGGATTGTTTTTGAGAGACTTGTGCTGGATCTTAGACATCATTGATTTGTTCTAGAACCTTTCCAGGTATCATTGCCAAGCTGGTGGTTGCCTGAATCTTCTCCCTCCCCTTTGAAGATGGGGAGATGTTTGTTTGTTTGTGACTTTTCTTCAGGGATCTCCCCTTCTCTAACAATTCTGAAAAACAAAGGCCCTGAGATTAGATCTGTAAGTTCTTTTACTAACCTTGGATGCAATTCACCCGGTTGAGGAGACTTGAATTCATTTTAAGTAGGCGTATGTTCCCGTATCACCTTTTTATTTATCTTGAGCAGCAGGCCCTGCCTTCCTCTTTTATTCAATCTGCACTAGGTCAAGCACTTTTTTTAAATTTTGGTAGAAGGCAGAGACAAAGTAGATGTTGAGCAGTTCTGCTTTCTCTGTGTCACCCATTAGTATTTCTCAATTATCTCCATGCCTGGGACTGACTGCTTTCTTGTTCTTTCGCTGGCTTTGAGCATAGCAGGGCTACCAGCTTACACTTGCTGCAGGCGCAGCTTCCTACATTCTTAAGCAGAAAAACAAACATGTCACAGATGTTGCAGGTCACTGCTTTAACATCCATGTTTCATTTCCCCTGTTCAGACTGTGACATAGCATTCCCCCTCCCCAAATTTCCCTGCTAAATGCCCATGAAAAACACCCATCTACCCACCCTGCCAAGTCATGAGTTCCCAGAGAGCCTGGGTATAGGTGTAGCCTCTTTACATGCCTCTTATCTTCCTTCTGGATACAGCCAAAGAAGACAGGAGAATGTATGGACATAAAGCTTACTGCTGTTGCTTGTGATTGTGAATATGATGCTAAACCAGAGTTTTAAAAAAATGTTACTTGTGGACCAAGCCAGGAAGGCTGAGATCCCAGGCGAGTATGTAATAATCACACAAACCACAAGCATTGGAAGTAAAATGGGCCACAGCTTTATTGGTAACAGCTGCCACTAGTACTGGTGTTAGCATGGAAGATGGATCAACATTAGCTCCCCTCTCTGCTGATTGATGTTGTAAGCAAGGTAACCAGAAAATGAGGTGAACCTCAATCTGCCATTGTGTGGCCCCTTCCAGCACCCCTAGGGTCTCCTGAGCTGAGCCGCATAATGTCTCTCTGTCGTACCCCCTTAAAGGGAATTAACCGGGGAGGGTCACACACCTTCCTGACCCTACTCCCCATCTGACCTGATCATTTAAGACCCCAGAGATGGTTTGGATTCAAATCCTCCAATCCAGACCACCTGTGGGAGGTAATGCCCACCCTTGGCCCACCTGATTAGCTGTAGCGGCCACTGCCCCATGACCCTCTGGGACACTACACTGCCTCCTGGGAAGAAGACAGCCTGCCCCAAAATGGCGGCTGCCGCATTGCCCATTCCTGCATCTCTGCCTGGATGACAGATACAGTCACCTGTTGAGTTGGGGGCCATTACTCTTTGGACTATAGCTACTAGAATTCTTTAGCCAGCATAGCCACTGTAATTATTCAGTAAAGTAACTAACACAGGAAAAACTAACACTGTATTACACAGTAGATTGTATTATGCAAGACCTAAGAGATTGCCTGCTTCATTATAAACCCATGTGGTCTTTGAAGTTGTCTTGGGGTACCACATGCTCCTGAAGCCCTCTCTGCCTCAGGGCAATTAGCTTGGGGGTACCCACTATGTGAGTGCCCATCCTTTCAAAACTGAACATGTTCCAACAATTTGTACTTTTAGATGCACCCTGAAAATGAGCCTATTCTTGCAAACCTTTACTGCATAGTCCAATGTATTGTGTATTCCATGGACATTCTATATATTCAAATTTGTGCATATTGCTATTTTATAAAATAATTTTTGCACATATGTTGAAATGTATAGCTCTAAACCACCTATAAATATAAACAATCTTCAAACTTTATTTATTTATTATAAAGACACAAATAAAGTCAAAAGAAAGTCTAAATAAAGTGCATCGTGTTGATATAAAGTATAAGAGTAGATTTTTGATCACTAATAATAACACTGTTCAAGTGTGCTATGAAATCATGGCAGATGATTGGCTTCTGAGAAAATATATATATTACTTTCACTCAAATGAACATTTCCACAGAACAAAAGACTAAGCAGTCATTTCTTTTTTTAAAAAAAAATCTATAATTAGAATTTGATCTTATTATATTCAAAAGGCAATTAATGGTGCCTACACTTCTCAACCCATTTCCAACTAAAATTATTTAAATGTCTATTACCTCAGATTGCCATGTTTTGCAGATATTTATTTTTCATACAACATGCAACCTGTACAATATACTGTACATTTTATTGTCTTTAAAATTGTTTAGTTTTTGTTACATTTTCTGTCAACCTAGTGTTTGTTTGTTCATTTGTTTGTTTTTGATGAGTAAAATACAAACAGATAAGGATAAATGGCAGTACAGTCCTGTGTGTAGCATGAAGGGAGAATCTCAGAGACTGGAGAAGTTGTTTCTTTCAATTCCAACTCCCCAGAATCACCCAAAGGCTATGCTGGCTGGGGGATTCTGGGAGTTGGAAGTGGAAAAAAGGAGAGTTTTCCAAGTTGTGGTCAGAATTCAAGGCTGCCGAATCTAAAGTACTGCTGGGCTAATGCTGGCCAAGCTGGTGGGGTCAATGTTTCCTTCCTTCTCTCTTTTTTGTTAGCTCTTCTTTTGTTTTTGTTTTTAATAGTAATAATAATATTGGTTTTAATGATGATGATGATGATGATGATGATGATGATGATGATGATGATGATGATGATAATATACCATATATATTGCAAAATACCATGACAAGATAAAACAGTTACAATCAGTCAGACTGAAATAAAATAAGAATAATAACAGCTAAAATTAGGGCAAGAGATGTAATAAATATACACACGTTAGGCACTTTTAAGCCAGTATCTGGAACTTGAGTCATGGCAACTCAGATAACTTTACCTGGATGATTGAGAATCTTCACAGATACTTTAAGCCAGCACTTCAGATATCTTTAGTTACAGATGGTATTTGGCTGTGATTGTATTAAGGTACACTAAGATTAGTGAGTTTATCAGATTACATTCATGCTATTATGTTTTCGGAGGCAAAGGTAATACCAATGCTAATATTTGGTGGGGGGAAATGAGAGCACACACCAAAGTCCTTATGTATAATTACTGGCTAATGCTTATCTTCTCCTCTGAAGGCTTGGCACAGATGTCACTTTTTTTACTCCTTTCAATCAGGCTGAAAACTCCAACTCACAAAAGAAATAAAGCAAATAGGTTTTTCCACCAATGCTCTCTTGGTGATGGGGCATGCCGGTGCCAAAGCAGCACTCAAACGAAGAGACATAGATCTTCAAGAGCGTATGAGCCTGTTGGACAAATACAGTGTTGTTACTGTACTAATAAGGCCTTTACAATATCCTCATATTTGACTAGCACAATGACAACAAAGACTTGCAGAGCCTGCACATTAGCAAGGCTAAATGTTTTACCCTCTAAGCTTATGGAGGGAAAATTTCAACATATACCTATCTCGGATTGCCTGTGTCCATGTAAGGATGGCAAAGTGGAAACTGTAGGCCATGTTTTACTGTATTGTCTTTTTTTACAAGATCTACGCACTAACCTCTTGAGCCCAATTATTCTCAGATACCCAGGGAGACCCAATGAATTTTACATCAAGTTACTTCTTTCCAATCGAGACTCCCTTTATTACATGCTCTGCTTTATTACATGCTCTGCAGCAACATTTTGTCCAGCAGCAATGGCACAGCGCTCCCTTATAGTCTCCTTAGGCCCCTTATAGTCTCCTGAGGTTGATTGATTTTAGCATGAGGGTAGTTTATTGTTGAGCGTAGAGAAACTTTGTGGTCCCAACCGAAGGGACTAAATGTTTACAAATGCTTACAAATACTGTACGTATGAAGGATTCCCTGAACCCCAAAGAGCCTGTCCAAACCAGTTTGCCCTAGACAATCCAACGGTTCAAAGGATGACTATAAAAATGTTGTAACTGATTCTCCCCATATATTATAACTAGTACACAATTAATTATCTGTTGTGCACTCTTCTATTTGCATCTTGTATATTTTAGTCATATAATATGTTTTACGCGATAGCTGGTCACTTGACCGTAATCAATAAATATTCTTCTTCATCATCAAAAAATATTTCGTGGAGAAATCTGGGGTTCTGCTGACCTCACTAATATTGAGAGAGTCCAAAATCAATTCTTGCATATGATATTAGGAGCCTCAAAATCTATATCACCCTATTTAATTAGAGCGGAATTGTTTTTCTTTTTACATTTCCTGCCCAAAGCATGGAAGTTCACTTTTCAAAGTGATAAGTACCATAGTTACGTATCATTCCAAAGTTCCAAAATTAGTTTGTTACCATTATAGTTAAATCTTAAAATAATTAGCTACTTTACTGGTCATCAGAAGATAATTTTATTTGCTTTTTAAAACAAAAGCTATGAAGTTATCTCTTGATAATTGCAGTTGTAAAGTAATTTACCCTGTTACACCGTAGAAAGAAGAAACATTTCCTTCAGTCACTCTGAAGAGCAGGAAATGGCCAGGAGCAATAAAAATGGTGGATGCACCATTTTAACAAGGAACTGTGGAAACACTATGATGTTGTAAACAAGGTTTTATGAAAAGTAATCCTAAAAAAAACCTCACAAATGTTGTAGTTTGTTGTAGTTGTAATCAAAGTTATTTTCTTATAATAACCCTTTTTCTCCCTTCCAGGAGTCTTGCAAACAATAACCTCCAAACGCTCCCCAAAGACATATTCAAAGGACTGGATTCATTAACCAATGTGTAAGAAAGCTGTTTAATTCTCACATTATGATTTGGAAGAGCTGCGACAGTTGATCACTAGTAATAATTACAGCCGGGTGGGCACTGAAGTACCCATAGGCTGCCTCTGCCAGTCGCCAACACCCTGCCTCAGCCATTTTTTAAAAAGAGGTTTCTAAGAGGGAGAATCATGTTCCTGGAAGCCAGCAGAGGGCTGATTTGACTCTAAAACAAGGCATGCTCATTGAACTATTTTTGTATATTGTGGGGAGTGACCCCTTTTGGTGTTCTTCTAAAAATATTGTTTGTACTTCTGCTAAGCTTGAAGTCATCCTGAGCATACTGATATGTTCCTTTCCTTTCTTAATAGTCTTATTTTGGCTCCATTTCTGTTGGCATGAGAGCACTGTGCCTGCAGTGAGAGGGAATGATTATACTTTTGTTAAAGTATGAAGTACTTAAAGCAAACCAAGTTACTCTGGAACACGAGGAAGGAAACAAACAAACAAACAAACAAAAACTCCACAAGCATCTCTCCCTCTGCTGGTGAACAACAACAATAAAAAATTAGCTAATAGTTTACTGACATCCAAAATCTGCTGAAGGGGCATCTCACTTTGCCTAATACTGGAGGCAGCCCAGCCCCTCCACCAATCCCAGCTCCTTGCTGTCCATATTTTGATCCACATGGATGTGCACAGACACAGAGGCATGGAATGGAACACCCAAACTGGGTCTACAATCAGGGATTTACTTGCACACTTTCAAAACAGATAGGATGTAGACATTTGTTGTCCATAAAATATCCAAAGTATCCAAAGGAAGAGTCCACAATTAAGACATACTATGTGCCGTGAAATCTCTTTCATAGTAATGGTTGAGTGCTGTAGTAAATAGCAAGGCAAAGCACAGATGCAAGAGAATGCAATAGCAAGGAAACCCTCCTAAATTAGTGGGAGTGAACCTTTTCAGTGGCAACCAGGAACACATCTGGGTTCATGAAGATCTATGAAAATGGGCAGGTGGATTGTTGTTGATGCACCAACCAATCACCCTATTTTATTCCCAGAGACCTTAGAGGAAATGCATTCAAATGTGACTGCAAACTGAAATGGTTAGTAGCATGGATGAGCAGAACAAATGCAACAATAGAAGACATTTATTGTGAAAGCCCACCAGAGTATAAGAAGCGCAAGATCAACAACCTATCCCCCAATGAATTTGACTGTATTATTACAGGTAAGTCTTTTAAAGATATTTATTGCACTAATGCTACGGTCATGTTTTTAAAATTCAAAGCACAATTCTACAGTGTAGATAAAGTATTATGAAAATAAATACATTGATCTTCAGAGTGACAGAACTGCTATTAACAGAAGATGAGAGTAACTGTGTATTTTGAATCCATATACTTTAAGTGACTGAGATTTAAATAATGTGTGATATTTAAATTACAGTACTGGGATTTTAATGGCTGGGATTTAAATAACGTGGATAACTATCAGTTCAGTTATAGAAACCATTATGCAGATTGCCCCTTTTCTGATAAACATTTCTTACTCAAAACTTGAAAAGCTTTTCATTTGCAGGAGAACTTTTCAGAAAGACTTGTTAAGTATTATTTTGAAATAAAGTGCTTTTTTGCATATTTTGTTCATTTTCCTGAACACATAGTCCCCCCCCCCCAGCAGCACTCATTACCTCTACATCTCATTTGTGCTTGGTATCATTTTATTTTCATCATGTGGGATTTATTGCGCAAAAGCTGGTGTTTTGTTTGCTGATTGGAAAATATGACACTTTGTTCATGCTCTCATTTTCATCTCTTTTTTTGGAAAAGCAAGGTAGGACCACACAGTAACATTTTCTTAGACTGACAGAAGCTTTATTACATGGCTTGAGATTGGGTAGGGTAATTAAAAACTGAATAAATTATATGCAATCAGGTTAAAAATAGTAACTACTTGCTTCTTAATGAAACATCAACTCTTGTTTTGAACTATTGACTAATTTAATCAAATGGATTTGAGAACATTACCAATATCTGCCACTAATATGACGTCTGAACTACAGAAACGGAATAAATTTCATTTTTTGGTATGCACTCTTTCAGAATTTGTTGTATTTCGAAAGCTGCCATATCAATCTCTCTCAGTGGACACTTTCTCATACCAGAATGATGAGTATGTGGTTATCGCTCAGCCTTTTACTGGAAAATGTATCCTCCTTCAGTGGGACCATGTAGAAGGGACATTTAGGAATTTTGACTATATTACAGGTATGGGTAATTTAGTTCCATGAACTGCATGCTGCCTGATCCTAATACCAGGTAATGATGCTATCTTTTATCTTTTATTTCTGCAGGGATATCAATAGTGGTATGCAAACCTGTTATTGTGGACAACCTCCTGTACATCATTGTTGCACAACTCTTCGGTGGCTCCCATATCTACAAAAGAGACATTCATGCCAATAAATTTATAAAAATTCAAGACATTGAGATACTCAAAATTAGAAAGCCCAATGACATTGAAACATTTACCATTGGAAAAGATTCCTACTTTGCAATAGCAGACAGTTCAAAAGCTGGCATCACCACAATCTACAAATGGAATGGAAATGGATTTTATTCTGACCAATCTTTGCATGAGTGGTACAGAGATACTGATGTGGAGTACCTGGAAATAGATGGAAAGCCTCATTTGATCCTGTCAAGCAGTTCTCAGCACCCTGTCATCTATCAGTGGAGCAAAGGAGCAAACAACTTTGTTGACCCAGTTGATATTCCAGATATGGAAGATGTTTATGCTGTAAAGCACTTCACAGTGAAAGAGGACACTTATGTCTGTCTAACAAGATTCATTGGTGATTCCAAAATCATGAAATGGGGAGGATCTAAATTTGTGGATTTACAAAGGATGCCATCAAGGGGATCTATGGTATTTCAGCCTCTTCAGATAAAGAATTATCAGTATGCTATTCTTGGAAGTGATTATTCTTTTACTCAAGTCTATTTCTGGGATGCAGCAAAGGCCAAGTTTGTGAAGTTTCAAGAATTAAATATACAAGCACCAAGATCTTTCACACATGTCTCTGTTGACAAAAAGGATTTTCTCTTTGCATCAAGTTTTAAAGGGAACACAGTGATTTATAAACATATAATTGTTGACTTAAGTGCTGTGTAACACACCTACACAGAAAAAACAACAACACAGGGTTGAGTCTGTTTTGGGACTTCCTCCACTGATAACAAAGACTTAATGAACTAAATGCATGACAGTGATTCTCTACTTCCAGTCTTCGGAATGCCTTTAACAGTTGAGATTGCTAGAATTAAATACTACAAGTATCTTCATCCATAAATGTCAAGATTAGTGCTTCTTTGGAGTTGCATTTTTTAAAGAACAACAAATTAAATTGTTAATTTGCACTCACTATGTAAATATGTAGTGGAATTCCATCTGTCTTAGGTGATGGGAGTGGGACTGTAATTTTCCATTACACACCTATTTGAAAACTGCCAAATAAAAATGTTTACATTTTCTTTCACATTGCAAATAGCATTGTTTATAAGTAACCATTCTCATGTACATGTTGGCTTCAGTTTGAAAATTCCTACTGATATGACATCTGGGTACGTATTTGAGTGTCACAGATACTGTATTGTATTGGTCAAGAACTGATGAGTTAGTTCTTCTGATGGAATTGCTTTTTTCAGCAGTACTGTGAGATGGTGATCCTCCCTCTCACAGTACTGTGAAGTGGTGTATGGAAGGTGCAGCCCTCCATACACCACCAAAATAGGCTCTGTGGGTATGGGAATCCCTCCGGAACAGTTTTTTGGCAAGAAGGGAAGAAAGTGGGTATTGTGATACTGTTGCAGTAGTAACTGGTGATCCACAAGCCTGCTTGGGCCCGTTGGCCAAGAAAAGGAGAACCTGAAGTCAGCAGTTGGCAGAGTCCATTAATTCTGGTTTTGTTTCTTTCTTCCTATAGTGACACTGTAATACAACCAGGGATGGCTTGTGGACTGGGATGGGCGGGGAACCTTATCCTGAAATTTCAGGCACCCCCCTGCCCCAGTCACAACCTTTCTATGAATACCAGTTCACACTCAACTTCTAATTAAACTGAAGAACTCTCCTCTCATGATGGTTCAGTAGGCTTTAACCATATTTGATTTTAAACTGCACAAGTAGTGTCATATGCAAGACGAAGGACAGCTTCAGGTAATTTCCTATATGAGAATAATGTGATATATTGTAGTAGTTGCCAAATAGTCCACTCCATATTTATAGACAGGAAATAGTAAAGTGCTTGTTTTACTCCTTACTGTTGTATATAGAAAAGGCACATTATTTTATTTTTCTTTTACTTTTAAACTAAGCAGTAGGAAACCCTTGGCCATCCAGATGTTTTTGGAGAGTACCACATCTCCCATAATGCCTCATCACTGGCTATGCTTGCTGAGGCTTCTGTGGATTGAAGTTTATAACATCTGGTAGGGCAAAGGGCGGACACTCTCACTGTAGCTGGCAAAATACCAGAATACTGTTATAGAATATACTGGAACTTTATTTGGGAAAACAATGATCTTTGGGGAGTTAAAATAAATATACCATGCAATGAAATATTTCAAATCATGTACAGAGAAGTACTAGAACTAAAGGTATGATAGCAGTTATTGAGAATGTCTGATGTACTAAAGCACAGATATGCAGTTCTGGGCAGGAAAAAATGTGCTGCCTATGCTAATTAATGGGATTGTTGGATTACTCACTCCCTAACAGTCATCACATATATTGTCCCACAGTGCACCCACTGAGACAGTACTTTTTAGGGAATTATGCTTCAAAGGGAACCAGCCAGATTCCTGGCACAATATTAATGCAAACATATTCTCAAGTGAGTATTTCCGAGATCTCAAGGCCTTGTGGAACTCCCCCTCGTTCTTGTCTTTAAGCCATGAGAAAATCTGAAAACCATCACAGGAATATACAGGAGATAGTCATCATAAAATGGAGGCTCCTTGGGGGTCTTTGTCAAAGTGTGTGGCTGTTTAATTGCTCTGGTTTCAAACGCAAGTTCAGAGCTCGTGAGGGTGTTTGAACATTCCCACAAACCTATCCAGAACCACCAAGAAGCTTAATCCATAAATGTCACCAATGTAATTAACATTACTTTTTCTCATTGTTTATGGCATTTTTGATCTTGTGTAACAATGATGCTGTTTTAATTAAGATTTTGTTTTAAAATTACATTTTATGGCAGTCTGTTAGCCTGAAGGGCCATTTTTGGCAGATGGGTGGGATAAAATTTTAATAATAACTCCAGTATCATAATGCATAATGCCACTATGATCCTAAAGGCTTGAACGTCCCTCATAGTGACTGGAAACAGCCATTTTCATGTGGTACAAGCATCCTGTCACATCCATCCATATGCAGCCCCTCACTGCATATAACAATCTGGAAGCAAAATGTTTGCTTCTTTGCTGCAGCCCACCCTCACCTTCCCCAGGAGCTATTGAGGCTGGTCCATCACAGCAAATTAGGTACTGCTCTGTGTCAGACTCAGACTATCTTTCCTACCCTATCCCAAACTAGGTAAAGGTAAAGGTTCCCCTTGACATTTAGTCCAGTCGTGTCCAACTCTAGGGGGCGATACTCATTCCTGGTTCCACCCCATAGAGCCAGCATTTGTCCAGTCGTCAGTTTCCATGGTCACGTGGCCAGCGTGATTAGACATGGAACACCTTTACCTTCCCACCGAGATGGTACCTATTTATCTACTTGCATTTTTACATGCTTTCAAACTGCTTTCAAACTGCTAGGTTGGCAGGAGCTGGGACAAGCGACGGGAGCTCACTCCGTCAAGTTGATTCAATTCTACGACTGCTGGTCTTCTGACCTTGCAGCACAGAGGCTTCTACGGTTTAATCCGCAGCGCCTACCCCAAACTATCTTCCCCTTATTAAACATTATTGGATTGCTGAGCTGGAGATTGGATCTAATTCCCAGTTTCTGCCTTTTATAGCTATCTTGATCCCTCATGTTGCCTGTACTGCTTCTGGATCATATTTAGTGCTGCTAAGAAGACATACGGAACAAGGTGCATAACCAGCTCCCCTCTTTTACTACCGAGACCTATCCTGAGGTTATCCTGCTATCTTGTGGGCTAGTGAACAATCAGATCAGTGGTGGCAGAACAAAGAGAGGCTGAGGTCAAGGTTCATGAGAACTGACTCAAGAGTATTGGCACTGGAGCATGACATACTTTTGTTTTTCAGACACACTCTACAACAACATCTTCGTGTGGGTTTGCATTTGAGCGTGCAGTCACTGGACATTTCCCCTACAACAGAAACACACTGCTAAAACAAGCTGAAATCTATTAGTAAGTCACAATTAGAGGAGGCCCACTGAATCAGTGAGATTTTGGAGAGTCAAAACCTATAAGGTTCAGTGAGATTTTGGAGAGTCAAAACCTATCCTTTGATTCTTGACTTTGACTTACTGGATTTCAGACACAGAGATTAGAATGACATTGATGGATGGTGGCAATTTAGAATGCAAAGTAGGATTATAACCCCAATGTTCTCTGTTCTGGTCCTGCATTGATTGCTGAGTCATCTCTGTCTAAATTATGAGAGTAAAAACCAGCATTCCTTTTCACACAGCTGGAGCTAAAGCATCGCTTGCCCATCACAGAGTTCAGCGGTGTCGACCCTGAAATGGCAGGCTGGGGCCACCACTCAGATTATAAAATGCCCCATTTAGAAGCACAAGAGACAACGTTTTCCCCAGATGCCTGATTTTGGATTCCTCTTCCCAACCCACTGAATGCAAAAAGCCTTTTTCAGAAGGATTCTGAAACCAGTATTTTCTTGACAATTAATATGCAGACATGGATGGGTGGTAGACAGAGATGTTGGGCTGAGAGAGACACATCATGTGGAGATTTGGACCACCCAACAGGCTTTTGTTTTGAAGTTGGCCTTTCTAGGCAGTACGTTGTATAGGTTAGGAAGAGGGCCCACACATGGTATTTTATTGACGAAGGTGAAAAACAAGATGGTGTCCCATTCTGAAACAGAAGCCGACTGAATTGGCAGCTAGATCTAAGCTCAGCACTGGAGATGGGACAACATTCTTCACTGTGCGCAAGGAAAACAGGAAAGCTTAATAGGTGCAAAAGAAGCTCTGAGTCACACAGAGCTCAATCTTCCAAAACTGTACCATCGATCTTCACTCTCAGCTTCTGCTCCATCAAGTCACCCTGCCTAATGGTAGGGCCAGTTCTGAACAAGAAACAAGACCACTTTCCAACAGGATGAAGAAATTTCTTTGTTACCACTTCAGTGAAACAACAGGAAAAAAATAGCTAAAAGAAAATATACAGTGATGAAAGGACAATGGAATGAAACAGGTATCCTCCTATAGCAAACTTTCCAGGCATATTTACTGCATTTTTAGCAGGCTTTTAAAAAATGTCTAGAATAGATGGGAGATCAAACTGTGTCTTACTTAAAAAGGATTCTCCACCACAAGCATTTTTAATCAGAAGCTAATCAGATAGAGAGTGTGTGTGTTTTGACTGAGATTCCCAGTGGTCTCCAGATGCAGCATAGAATTCAAGCTGAAATTATGTACATTAATAAAAGATTGTCTACATATACCCGAGGTTCAGAAGAAACATGCAGAGACAGCTTTTCACAGAGCTACATAAGGAAAGGGTTATTTTTAGCACAGAATTCATGATAGCCGTGCTGTCATTAAAGTGGAGGAGAGTAAAAGTTGAATAGGCAGCTTTCTGGGTTGCCTTTGAGAAAGATTATAATTGTACTCTTCCTGCTGGAAATAGAACCTCATTCTCTCATGTATCTACACAGAATCATCACTGATTGTCCAACAAAATGTTGTATTTAAATATGGAATGTTAATGTTGATAATTACTCATATTTCTCTCTAAATATGCAGCACCACTTTTTCTAATATTGCAAATATATACAGTGGTGCCTCGCTTAACGAGCGCCCCGTTTAACAACGAAACCGCTTAGCGACGAAGAATTTGCGATCAAAAAAGCAATCGCATTGCGATGTTTTAAATAGGAAAAAATCGCTTTGCGATGATCGGTAAGCTGTTTCGCTTACCAATTATCACATAGTGATCTTTTCCCTACAGCTGATCGGCGGTTCCAAAATGGCCGCCGGAAAAAAACATAGCTGTCGCTGTGTTTTGGGACGGATTCCTCGCATACTGGGCAGCAAAAATGGCCACCGTATGGAGGATTTTCACTTAAAGGTAAGTTTTTTGCCCATAGGAACACATTGAAGGGGTTTCAATGCATTCGTATGGGCTTTTAAAAATCGCTTAGCGATGTTTTCAGTTAGCGGTGATTTTTGCTGCACCGATTAACATCGCTAAGCGAGGCACCACATTGCCCTTGTTGTTTTTTGCCTTTCAGCAGGAGGTATAGAGTGTTTAACAGCTTTCTGGTTCTCCTAAGTGGTTTTGGGCAGACGGATCAGAGGGAAATACCAA